AATGGGATGAGTGCTGTTTATCTATAAGGTAAAGCATATATATTCGTACTGATTACTTTGGGTATGATTGAGATTTATTGATCAGTTCTGCTGATTTGCACCTCTTCTTATTCAATGAAAGGCATCAGATAATTTCGTGTTGAAGGCAAGATTAAAATAATATAAATGTGGTCCTTAGTATTAACTTAAGCTTTTAGATCAAGTGGTTCTCAAAGCTCCTAGGTTAAAGTCTCATGACCTCACTCATTTTATGAAAGTGTGCAAGTGTTTAAGGTTTGATGAGGAAAAATGAATCCTGCCTACACGTGAGGGGCTTCAGCTCTTAGATCAAGTGGTTCCACTTATCCAAAAGTAGCACATTTGACCGTGACCTCATAGATGATTGAAAATGAACTGAACTGACAACTGGGGATGCTAACATAGTACAGTGGTTCAGAATTCTCTTCTGTATATTTTGTTTTTCAATCATTGACACTTGCAAGAATTTAATCCAGCATAATCCCCTCGTAAAGAACATGGAGAGGCGTTTCCAAATTCAAAGTCACACTCCAAATGCTTACACCAGAATGATGATCCAATCATCTCTTACCAATGACCTGACCAAGTTACCAGTTATGCTGTGACCCTTGTATCTCTTCAATTCAAAGCTTTTTCCAGCTTCCGTATAATCTCTTCAAAGATAGTTTGATCAGGCATGCATTTGCTTTAGAACCCTCTATGGCACCTTTCCAGAGACAATACACAGTAGCAGAACAATATAATTCAAGCACCAAAATATCGAGGTCCTCACCCTCCACCATGTTAATGTGCCAATTCAATTTGTACCTCCATGCTCAGTCCCTCCAAGTTTCATGTTAATATATTACCAAATATTTGCACAGTATAGACCTTTGGAGGAAAGATGGTCCATGGACTCTTCAGCAACATAGTACAAAACAAACTCGGTTTCAGTTGCAAATTTCCACTTCTTTAAACTATCCTTCGTTTGCAATTTGCCTATGACAAAGGATCCAAAAAAGAGAGGGGGGGCGGGGGGGGGCATGTTGGATCCCTTATTGCTATAACAATTGGAAAATACTAGTGAAGCCTTCATCATCTTCCCTTAGACAAGCTTTTGGCCATTTATTCCAAAGATTGTTTTTTTATATGAAGTGGACATCTGTATTGTGTTTTGTGACATGAGAGACTGCTCTACAATCATATTGAAAGTCCTCTTTGATTCCAGGAGAAGAAGGGTCGTGCTTCCCCTCCAATGTGGTACATTACTAGCGATGAACTGGATGCTTTGCCATCGTAAGTTGATTGCATTTCGTATATGCTAAAATTAATGTCAAACAAAGCAACAAAGTATCTCGTTAGTAACTTTTAGCAAACTGTAGCTACATGAAACAAAGGCTCACTCTGGATAAGGTAAATGCAGCAATTAATGACATGGCAACATATGCTGAAGCAAATGCCCAGATTATCATGGCCCCAAGAAAGAAGGTTCCTCGCTCTGACATTTTCTTTTCACCTGAAAATTGCTAGAATCCATTCATCCTGATTACTCCTCTAATTTTTTATTTTTATTTTTATTTTTTTTACAGCTATCGGAGAATATGTTGGACAGAGCTCTGGTAAGTTAATCTAGCTTAGAGAAGTTGAGTTATATGTTTTTTCTTTTCCCTTTTGAAGTGCTTAATGATTAAGGATTTATAATTGTCTGAGGTATCTGCATTGTTGTTGGTCCCAACTCATTCACAGACCATTGTTCAATGCTGCTCTGTTTAAATATTTAAATGCATTATTGCAAATAGAGCTATGTCTAGTTGTCCCTTTTAAGGATCTCCCCCATAATTAGTTTGTTCCTTGAATCTGAATATGCCATAACGCATGCAGGAATTAAGGGAGATCTCGAGGAATGATGTAGTGAAAGGAAAACATTTCTTTCTGGAAGCTGATATTAAAGGGCCTGCATTGAAACTTGATAATACAGGGAAAGCAACACTGACAGTAAGTGGATTTAATTTGTTTGTGTTAATATTTATTTATAATCATGCTAAGAATCAAGAATCACCAAATAATAAATTAATAAACCAAATTCATACCTGCGGAATCCATTGTAATATGAATAGTAGTTGTAATAGTAGCCAAAATCTTCCTCTCCTTGCTCCTCACAAAAATATTAGCTATCAATGGGGCAAGCTAATGAAACATATGGAGAGGAGAGGGGACTTAGCCTTTATATATAGAAAATAATTTGAGCTGTCCCATTACGACTAGAATTATAATTAGGGTTTATTTCCGGCCATATACTTTAAACTACCACATAAAATTAATTACAACACGTAAGGTGTAAAAGACCCAATTGATCACTTAATAAATTTGGCTCAAACACAAATATCATTATGAGCCATATATCTAACCCGTAAAATTTTGCAATCGAATGTGAAGTCCACGTATGAAATTATTAATTATTCCAACATTCTCCCAGTTGGGCAAACATTTGATTGCCATAACAAAGTTTTAACACCCGGGTTAGACTACATAGGTGGCCACAAAAGTATAGCTCCAATAATGACACCTTACGTAACATGATCCGGTCCAACAAGAATATTAACACCGAACATGGAAGTCATTACACCAATTTAAGAGATGTAAGACCATTCCACAGTTACAAATGTCAACATCCTTATCGACATAGATCCCTATCCTCCAACCAATGTGGTAGTATGTGGTATGAACTTAGCACCAAATGTGATAAAAAACTGTGCTAACTCAGATCGGTCCTCATAATGCTTCGAATCAAAATGAAGCCACATGCCTCTAAAAGAGACTCATCTTATGTCTTTATACGTCATATTTCAAGATGCCAATAATATAAAAAGACATAAGTCAAATGTATGCTTAAAAATAGTTCATGGATAGGGAAAAAATTATTTTATTATCAGAAGGGGCTGTACCCGAAAACATATGAGTTGCCTACGTACCCCGTAAAGGGATCAAACCCAAAACGTAGTTCTTTACATATATAACTCCCACTAACCAAAAATATCAAATGTTTCCACAATACCCATATTAGTAATATGTGTCTTAAAGACTTTTGGAACAAGTCCCTTAGTCAAGGGATCTACAACCATCGCCTCTGTATTGATATGTTCTATTTTCGTCTGCCCTTCTTTGACTCTGTTTCTAATGACCAAATATTTGATGTCAATATGTTTTGATCCACCAGAACTTTTATTATTCTTTGAAAAGAATACTGCTGCACTGTTATCACAGTAGATGATGATCGGTCTTGAGATGGAATCAACAACTTTCAAGTCAGAGATGAAATTTCTTAACCAAACGGCTTGAACTGTAGCCCCATAACATGCCACAAATTCAGCTTGCATAGTAGAAGATGCCACTAAAGTTTGTTTAACACTTTTCCAAGAAATGGCACCACCAGCTAATGTAAAAATATAACCTGAGGTTGATTTCAAATCATCTTGACATCCAGCAAAATCAGAATCTGAGCTGCTTTCCAATGTTCTTTTCCTGGATTAGACTGAAATCTGCTAAGGACACTTACTACGTAGGCTATATCCGGTCTAGTGCAAACTTGAGCATACATCAAGCTCCCCACAGCACTAGCATATGGGATCATCTTCATAAACTCCATTTCCAGCTCATTCCTTGGATATTGAGTATTGTTAAACTTATCTCCTTTTATGATAGGTACATCATCAGGTGCACAATTCTGCATATTAAACCTTTCTAGAACACGTCGTATATAAGCTTTCTATGAAAGTCCCAATAAATCACGATTTTTATCACGATGTATTTCAATGCCAAGTACATAGGAAGCTTCTCCAAGATCTTTCATCTCAAAATTAGCAGACAACATTTTCTTTGTTTCATGAAACAGCCCTATGTTACTGCTAGCAAGTAGAATGTCATCAATATACAATACAAGGAAAATAAAATTTCTCCCACTGATTTTAAGATAAATGCATTGATCAATAATATTTTTGACAAAACCAAGAGATGTCACAACCTCATCAAATTTCAAATACCACTGTCGAGATGCTTGCTTAAGTCCATATAATGATTTGTTTAATTTACATACCAAGTTCTCTTTTCCTTTCACAACAAAACCTTCAGGCTGTTTCATATAAACCATTTCAGAAAGATCTCCATTCAAAAATGCTGTCTTAACATCCATTTGATGAAGCTCCAAATTATAGTGTGCCACAAGAGCCATGATAATTCGAAAAGAATCTTTCGACGAAACATAGGAGAAGGTTTCAACATAATCAATGCCCTCTCGCTGAGTGAAGCCTTTTGCAACCAATCTTGCTTTCTTTCGTTCAACATTTCCTTTTGAATCTAATTTACTTTTGAAAATCCACTTGTTATCTACAGCCTTATCATCTGGAGGAAGTTCAACAAAATCCCAAACTTTATTCCTTTCCATGGAATTCATTTCATCTTCCATGGCAGCTATCCATTTATCTGTCTCAGGACTTGTCAATGCTTGATTATAAGTTACAGGATCAACAATATGCCCAATATTAAAATCACTCTCCAATAAATATGTAACATAATCACTGGGCAATGCAGATCTTCTTTCCCTTTGTGATCTCCTAAATTGTGGTTCAGGAACCGATTCAATCGTTGTTTAAGGAATTGGAGATTCCTCCTGGTTCCTCTGATCTTCATTAACAATTTCAATTAATTGAGAACCAACTCTTTCCTGTATAACAGGAACTGAAACTACAACTTGATTAGGTTCAACAAGAATTTCTCTCAACGTGGAACTCCCACTATCTCCAAAATCGTTCTCCAGAAACTTAGCAGTAATGGACTCCACAATTCTAGTGCCGCGATTTGGATAGTAAAATTTATATCCCTTTGATCTATCCGGATACCCAATAAAGTAGCCAGGAGTTGATTTAGGGTCTAATTTCTTTTCAAATAGATTATAAATCCTAACCTCAGCTGGACATCTCCAAACTTTAAAGTGAGCCATACTTGGCTTACGTCCTGTCCATAATTCAAAAGGTGTCTTTGCAACAGCTTTACTTGGAACTCTGTTCAAAATATACATAGCTGTTTTCAAGGTTTCACCCCACAAATATTCAGGCAAATTTGTTCCACTCATCATACTTCTAACCATATCTTTTAAAGTTCGATTACATTTTTCAGAAACACCATTCTGCTCAGGTGTCCCTGGCATGGTGTATTGGGGCACTATTCCACATTTTTGTAAAAATTTTGCAAAATTACCCATATTTTGACCAGACTCGTCATATTTCCCATAGTACTCACCACCTCGGTCAGATCTTACAACTTTGATATTTTTCCCACATTGTTTCTCAACTTCCAGTTTGAAAATTTTGAATTTCTCAAGTGCATGTGATTTGTTGTTAATCAAGTAAACATATCCATATCGTGAGAAATCATCAATGAAAGTTATGAAATATTTATTCCCACATATAGTGGAAAGCAAAAGTCCACTAATATCAGTGTGAATTAAGTCCAAAATTTCATTACTCCTAGTCGAACCCTTCCTCGTAGACTTAGTTAACTTTCCTCTTATACAATCTATACATGTGTCAAAATCGGAGAAGTTTAGGGAAGGAAGTATCTCATCTTTTACTAATCTTTTCATTCTATCCTTAGAAATATGATCCAATCGCTTATGCCACAACATAGAGGATGATTCACGAATTAAAGTCATTTTCTTTGATACATTTGTAACACACGAGACATCACTAAAAGAAGCCAAAGAAAATTTATATAAACCATCACATAAAATGTCATTTCCAATCAAACGAGAATCATTAAATAACTTAACCATTTCATTACCAAAATTAAATGTAAAACCACAAGCATCAAATTTTGGTATAGAAATTAAATTCCGTCTCATCTACGGTACATAAATTGTATTTTCCAAAACAAGATAAAAACCAGACTCTAAAGTTAACTTCACTACTCCTATGAATTCAACCTTCACTTGAAATCTATTTGCAACGCTCAAGCTTACTTCATTCTCACTTGGCCTCCGTTTGCTTATGAACCCCTGTAAGGAATTCACAATATGAATACTAGCTCCCGAGTCTAACTACCAAGAATTCAAAGGTACATCTACTAAAGAAGACTCAGAACAAACTAAGGCCAAGGGAATACCTGAAGAACTCTTCTTTTTTTCCAACCAAGTCTTGAACTTAAAACAGTCTTTCTGTCAGTGACCCTTTTTTTTTTATACAGAATTTGCATTGATAATTTTTCTTTATAACTCCTTTTGGACCACTAAAATTTTTATTCTGTTGACTTCGGTGAGACTTATTACCCTTACGAAACTTAGGTTTATGATTATGAGAAGGCCCCTTATTTTGTGATGGCTGAAAAGCTAATTGCACAGTTTCAACAATTTTACGGCGCATCCTATACTCTTCTTGGGTACACACTGCTATGAGGTCATTCAAATTCCACTTATCCTGCTGAGCATTGTAAGCAACCTTAAGTTGATTAAACTTGCTAGGAAGGCTATTCAAAACATGATAGACCAGGAAAGGCTCCGCAATGGGAATGTCAAGAGCCTTTAGCTTAGATGATATATTTATCATTTTCATGATATGCTCCCTAACACCACTTGTACCATTATATTTCATGCTCATAAATTTATCCATCAGATCCCTAGTTTCAGCTTTATCAGACTCAATAAATTTTTCTCCTATGGCATCCATAAAACTTTTGGCATTTTCATTATCAGGGATGACACCTAGAATGGAATCAGATATCGACCGCTTAATGATTTTCAAACAGAGTTTGTTAGCCCTTTTCCACTTTTCATGCTCGGCTACATATTCAACGGTACTCTTATCTGTGGGTTTTTCAAGCTTTTTCTTTATTGCAAAATCCAAGCCCAAAAGATCAAGTGCTATTTCTACGTCTCGTTTTCATCTCACATAATTATTCACAGTTAAGGTTTCAATAGCAGACAATTGATTTGAAAGAGATGATGCATTATAAACTGTGGAAACATAAAATATCACACTCAATATCATCCAAACGTAATGCATGCAATCAAATGGATGATGAAATATCCAACTAATTAATATGGGCTATTAATTAGATAATCTGTAATTTAAATCGAAAGATATGAATTTTATTACGGTAAGAGCCTAAGTGCATCATCATAAAGTCACCTTTGGGTCGACAATACAACATGTTATAAGGTACTCTTAAAACGCATCATGTAGCCAGTTAACAAAATTACACTGGTTTTCGAAACACCAACACCTTTGGACAGAAGGAAATTTCTAAACCAAAATAAACTCGTTAACTTTCTCATGCCATTTTTCAAAAATATTACATATAATAACACTTTTGGGCAAGATATTATATGCAATAAATCAAAAGTTGTTGAGCAAAAATATATGTATTTTTATTGTAGAGAAAATCGAATAAATAATAATGAGTGTGCCACTTTGGCAACTACCACCCATTTTTATTTCAAAATATTTCTCTTAGTGGGAAAACAAGAATCGTCGCAAGGCCCATAGAAAATATTCAATCACAAAATAATAATCATGGAACAATTATAATCATTAATCGATGAATGGCAAAATTCACATGTGATTGAGAACTAAAATTGGCAACAAAATTTTAATATATATAAAAGGCGAAATTTAAACGAACAAATAATAACAACAATAATTATACATTTAACGAAAATATAAAAGTTGTCAATTATTATTATTATTATTTTAAACGGGTCAATTTTAAATAAAATTTTAATTTGGATCAAAATTGAAATTTTAGGGTCAAAACTTTAAAAATCCAATTTGAAACCCTTAAATTTCAATTCAAAACAATTTTTTTTTTTTAAATTTGCGATCTGACCCTAGGTTTAAAATTAAAACCAAGTCCTCCAGTTTCTTAAATTACAAGCAGGCCCTTCTCTTATTATTTACAAACTTAACCCCTCAATCTGTAATTGCAAACAGGGGCTTGAAAATCAGCTATTTACAACAGGAGCCCCCGTCTCCAAATATAATACACACGGCCAAAATTATGAAAGACAAAAAAAAAAAAAAAATCCAAAATCAAATATTCATCTCGCCGGCCGAATAAAATTAGAGCTCTAAAATCCACCATACTTTTCTCCCTGCTGGCTCCAAAATCCGACCCATTACTTCAACCTGATCTCTCATTATCAGGCGAGTTCGCGAGGACTCAATTTTGCACAACCCAAAATTGAGCATTTGGTTCGGGGAATGGGCTGTTGTTATTGTTGTGATGGAGGGTGTTGACAAGGAAAGAGGGGAACTGAGTTGACTCGACGAATCTTAACACAAAACTCAGTCTTGGATTATGATGGGTTTTGATTTTGTGGATTATTCAAGATGTTATTTGACGTTTTGAATTCTAATATAATGGAAAGAAGTTCAAGGAGTCATATGGCAGAGGTGAGTTTTGGGTTTTACAGTGCTAATATCTAATTTCAACCCAAGAAGAATTGATGTGCAAGTGCATATAGTGTGTATGATGATATAGAAATAAGTTTCAGCCGTTTGAGAGAGGCAGAGAGAAAACCAAATTTCAGCTTTTGCAGGTGGGTGTCCTTTTGGATTTCATCACATATGAATTGTATGTTATACACAGAACTAAACATTAAATGCAAAGTTGACCCCTACTTTTATTTTATTTTAGTAAAGTGTTTAACAAATATTTGAAATAATCGAAATAGAATATTATTTTTATTATGAAGGATTCCAATTTTAGCATGATGACTCTGATACCAATTGTTAATATTTATTTATAATCATGTTAAGAATCAAGAATCACCAAATAATAAATTAATAAACCAAATTCATAACTGCGGAAATCATTGTTGATATAAATAGTAGTTGTAATAGCAGTCAAGATCTTCCTCACCTTACTCCTCACAAAAGTATTAGCTATCAATGGGGCAAGCTAATGAAACATATGGAGAGGAGAGGGGACCTAGCCTTTATATATTAAAAATAATTTGAGCCGTCCCATTACAACTAGAATTCTAATTAGGGTTTATTTCCGGTCCACATACTTTAAACTACCACATAAAATTAATTACAACACGTAAGGTGTAAAAGACCCAATTGATCACTTAATAAATTTGGCCCAAATACAAATATCATTATGAGCCATATGTCTAACCCGTAAAATTTTGCAATCGAATGTGAAGCCCACATATGGAATTATTAATTATTCCAACAGTTTGATCATAAATTATTTTGTGTAATGGAGGAAAGATATAGAAACATATATTTCTATTCATAGTATTACTTCTAACACGAACATGTCTTCTAAAATTTGCTAATATATCTTTCACTAAGAATCAGTTAAACACATGAGCTTTTCAAATAGTCAGGCTTGGGTTGTATACTTGTATGTCTTTCGTGTGTTGTTTTCTAATATTCTCAAAGGCTGAATATATTGAGTTGTCAAAAAGAATTAGGCTTAGATAATTCATCACAAAGTGTCATAAATAACTTTTTACAACAATGGAGAAATAAATTATAAGCTGAGAAATTGTATGCAAAGCATGTGTTCTAGTGATTATGATCTCAATTTGGATGTTAAAAAAAAAAAAACCTGCTTGGGATTTGGGAATCAGCGAAACTGCTTCTCTCCTCAATTCTTTCCTTTTCTGGACTTGATTGTAGGCCTCAAAATTGGGTGTTGTGCAGGCCTCAATAGTGGGGGTTTTAGAACACTAATGGCATGATTGATAGCTGGCTATTAGTATTTGGTAAGAAAGAAGAAAAGCTAAAATTTTATTTATTATAGTTTACCCTAACCATCCTGCACCTAGTGCTCACCCCAAAGGACACATCATCTTTTGACATGTAAGCTTCTGAAGACAAACACCTTATCCCGATTGCCTTGATGCCGTATTACACTTCTTTGCTTGAGGTTAATTCATGTAGCTAGCTATCAGTACTTCCCCTTATCAGGCATTTCTGATATCGGTGGCTTGGTCAGAAATTAACAATTGGTTCGTGGCAGGGGGCTGGGGGAGAATAAATTCTAGAAGTATTTGGACAGAGTACAAAAAATCACAGAAAGTCAGAGCATATACTAGGCTCACCTTGCTATATGGCTAATATTTAAGGCAAATGGGAATGCATATAAGATACTTGTGTTGTTACTATATGGTTCCAGACTCTAATCTGTGATATTATTTGATTTGCAAGGTACTTCGGCACCTTGGTCGTATAAGTGAAAGTCGGATTGGGCATCATCGTGTCATCATTCTTCTAAAGCCTCAATAATTTACCATTCTCTGTTCAATCAACTGAAAGTCATTGCAGTTTATGGTTCGTATTTTTATACTTAATATCCAGACAGTAAAGAATGCTCCATGGAAGATGACTGCTTTTGAACATTTTGATTTTAGGGCAAAATGTGTCTTATATATGGCATTGTAGTTAGTCCCCAACCACTAAAATATTATAGCTTGAAAATATTCATTATGAAAATATTCGTGTTTTTACTATTTTGACATTTAGTGTATGTTGAGAATTTGTTTGATGATCAAAGACGGAGTTCTCCAAATGGCTTTTTTATTTTAAAAGGTTTTATTTGACGACTTGATGTGTTTTCCTCAAAATACAAGTTTCTAGTAGTCCGAGGGCAAAAATCCAAAATTTGTAGCTTAATGATTAATTCCTTGGCTTGTCAATTGGCTTAAGTTCTTTTTTTTTTTTTTCTCTCTCTCTCTCTCTCTCTCTCTTTCTGAATTCTGCTCACTGGGGAAAAAAGGTGAAAATATAAAGATATATTGAACTTGCAAGGAAGACTTCTTAAAAATTTGACGAGGGTATTACTGCTTGAACATTGAGAGCAAGAAAAGTTCCTTGCATCTTGGTGATCATATTGACTCAAATCTCCAAACCAAGACTATCATACAAATTTTTATACTAATTTGCATCAAAGTGGAAGCTTGTAATTCATGGTTTTCATACAGATAGTCATGCCACAATCATACCTAAATTCTTGGCATTCGTTGAAGGCTGGTTTGCCACGGCTTGGGGAGAGAGATGCATGTTGAAACTGGCTCATTCATGCTATTCATCTTAGAGTTATGAGTTTAAACAATGTTCACCAGCCTTTTATTCTTTTTCCAATCAACAAGAAGGAGAATCCATCTTTATTTTTATATCCCAGGTGAGCCAAGAGGTTTAGAGTGGAAATAGAACAGTGTATTCTCTTTTGATGAACTATTGCAAACTAGAAGAGGAATTGCATACACCTCTTGCCTATCGAAGTTTTGTTCAAAAACCTTATTCTAAAATCTCTCTATTAATGAAAGTTTTATAAATTCATGAGTTATTATGAATACTTAGATTTTAAATAATTTCATTGAAATTCATTAAAATCTCAATTGGGAACTCCTGAATTTAGAAAGATTTTCAAAATTTCAATGGAGGATATTTCGTAAGAGAGGTGTTGACAAAATTTTTCACCTCGCCTGTAAAATAAAGGCCTTTTAAAAAATTATCCTCTTCCTAAATTGGGTAAATTTTATGATTATGCACACTGATAGAAGGATGAAATTTTGTGGAGACTGGAGTGGAGAGTGGAGGTTGGGGATGGATTTTGATTATTTTTTCCCTGTGCTTAGCACCAAAATAATATGGAAATAAGTTGCTTAGAAATTGAGCCAATCATGTTGCGACATTCTTGTTTTCCTTTTATGACTTAGTAGCATAAAACGTTCCTACGTTTGACCCATAGTGTGCAAAACGTTTTTTATGTTTCAAATTTTTGCATTTTCACCCTTATTTACATGTTTAATGTAAAATTATCAATATATCCTCCTATTTAAATAAAAAAAATAAATAAATAAAATAAAGAACAAATTGCAATTTTATTCCTAAACTTTTTAAAAAGTGCAAATGAGTCGAGATAAATTATTAAAATATTAAAAAAAAAAACTCTTTAATCATTCTCTTCTTCTCCTCTCCTCCCTCTGCCTCCTCCACTATCGTCAAAACCATATGAATTTCACCCCTCTACCGACATTTCTACGACAGATATTCTACCGATGAATGAGCACATTTAAAGAAACAAATTTGAAAAAAAACCATCACCAAGTCCTAAAATCCAAATGGGGCCACCACCTTTGAAGTCAAAAAATTCCATGAATCTCCAAAATAACAAGTGGGGTGGGAGTGAGTTAATTGTGTCCGTGGTCATTGAATTTAGGTCCATATATTTGATTGGTCACTGAAATTTAAAATGTCGAGTTTTGGTCACTGAACTTAGGTTCATGTCTTCGATTGCTCATGAAAATTTAAAATGTCGAGTTTTAGCCATTGAACTTTGAAAAATATTGTATATTACTCACTAAACTTTGAAAAATATTGTACATTATTCACTATAAACTCGATATTTTTCAAAATTTAACAATTATGCTAGTGAGTAACGTACGACATATTTCATTGTTCAGTGGTCAAAACTCGACATTTTAAATTTTAGTTAGCAATTTAAGATATAGATCTAAGTTCAGTAAACAATCGAAGACATTAACCTAATTTCAGTGATCAAAACTCGACATTTTAAATTTCGGTGACCAATCAAAGATATGGACCTAAATTCAGTGACAATTGGAACAATTAACATTTATTATTTCTCCTAATTCATATGATTTTATAGAGAATGTGTAATTAAAAAGTATGGAAAAGTTTAATGTTTACCTGCAAAATATTTTATTATGAAAATATGTGGTTAAAAATGAATTTTAGAAAAAAAAAAATGAAATTTGTGGAGAATTGTAAACAAATAGGGGTATTAGAAGGGAATGGGTGATTAATGTGACCTCATCCTAACAGCTCATGGGTCGACTTAATAGGTGACATATGCTGTCTTAGGGTGAGGTGGTGTTAAGTTATTTTGAGAAGTAGTCAATCTATGTCATATGCCGGCCATCTAGATAGTAGTAAATTGAGTGACATTTGCTACATAGATATCAAATTAATTCAGATGTACAAAAAATATCGAGGCAATTATACGGAAGTGGCTCTGTGGGAAAAAAGATCATCACTTCGTAAATGTGCAGCATCGGTTCGTGGTACATCACCCCGGACGCGAAGTTTCAATATCTACAATTTGGAGTAGCTGTGTCTTGTTTTTGGAGTAGCTGTGTCTTGTATGTATATTACATTGGATAGATAAAATATTAAATAATGTCGAAAATCATTATTATATAAAGAGTAATGCTATGTAGCTCTAATGGATTGCGATCCCATTTTAGATGGCACTGAATGATAGGATAATTGAAATGTGAAATTAAATAAATTATTTAATTCTACCTATCAATTAATATTACATTAGCGCCATCTAGATGGAGTTGCAATCCGAGTAGAACTAGATAGCATTACTCTTATATAAATATTCAACAACGCAAACAGAATTACTAACGTCATTATAGTTGCACATGTACCTAGCTCGTCCACAAAAATTCATTTTACTAATTGTCATGATAGTCAATGAGTTGGAGGTGACTTTGTCAATCCTGACAAATCAAATCAACTGTATCGATTATGCCTATATTTGTTTCCCATTTTCAGTACATAACAATGCATTTTTTGATCGTTGGAAGCCTGAAATTTTTAAACGTTGTGAGAGGTCAGTCAAAAAAAGGCTTGGTGGGGCCCATTAACAATCCAATTTCTTCTAAAATGGAGAAAAAATGGCAAACAAACAGGAGATAAAATAGGCCGTGTATGGACTTGATCAAACTTCACAAGCAAAGTTTGTCAATCTAAAAACAGTTCTTACCGAAGGAGGAAAATCTAACTCAAAATAAGATAATTCACTCTTCATCTACCAATAAATACTTTACTATGTTAAAAAATGTACTACAGTTTAATTTACATTTTACTTGTAACAAAGATCTATTTTTTGCTAATTTTTACACTTATATCCTTAATGTTTTCATGATATTTTACATCTATAACCTTCAAAGAGTTATATGCATACATTTTGTTAATGTAGAAAAATTTTTTGTCGAACTTTTGTAGTTTTCATTGATCTTCTGGGTAAATAAGTCATATATCTTTCTCATAACAATGTTTTGGCTGTCACGAGAGACAAAATATGCCAATTGATAAAATTTTGAGGATAAAAACACGATAAAAAAAAATAATGGACATAAATGCAAAAATTAACCAAAAAAAAAAAACGAGGGTCCTTCATTACAATTAAAATGTAGTACAAACAGCAAAAATTGTGATGTTAATATAATCACCTCAAGTTTTTTGCAGGTTTTGTAAATCAACACGTAGGGGCATATTTGATCGAAGAAATTGGATATGATTATGAATTAAAAATTAAATATAAGAAATCTAGATTATCTTGGGTCGAGTGTTGGAAAAAATGGTTTAATGGGTCAACTTTGAGCCCAAATTTCAATGGGACCCACCTTTTAAATAATACGGGACCTAGCATATTCACGTTCTACTCCGC